AAAAGAGGCAAAGGCAATATATCTAAAGCGTAAGTTACTCCATATTAACCATATTAAGACTAAAGTCTTTGTTGTGTGTAAAAGCAGTATCACACAATCGCTCTGTCACCTTGTCAATAATAGCGGTCCAAGTTCTCATCGCTATAAAGTGAGTCTCTTTTGAACTAGCTACAATTTTACTTTCTCAGCTCTCGTCACCTTCACACCCAGGGGAGACCAGACCAAAACCAATGGTGTTTAGATCCCCCCTGGTCCATGACACAAGTTAGGACGTCACAATGACTATTCCCTCAAAACACACAGGGCCACATAATAGTGGAATGAGCTACTAAATACACCAGTGGTTAACAGCACAGGCGCCGAGGTAATTTCTTCTAATTTGTGGTCTTAATTTTCTGCTGAGGAAAGCACAGTCTTTATGAAGAGTCTAATGGACTAACAGATGTACAGTGAAATTAGACAGGAATATGTTCTTGTTTTCTGCGATCAAAACGTCATTACTATCAGAAACAACTTTTCAGTAGGCCTAGTTTACTTGGTAGCACTTTACAACAAGGTTCCATTAGTTAATGTTAGTTAATGTATTACATGAACTTGAACAAACGATGAACAATACATTCATTACAGTATTTATTAATGAAACAGTTGTTTATTGACAGTGCATTAATTAATGTTAACAAGCACAACTTTTGATTTTAATAGCCTAATGCATTAGTAAATGTTGAAATTAACATTAACTAAGATTAATAAATGCTGTAGAAGTATTGTTCATGCTTAGTTCATGTTAATTATGTTAACTAATGAACCTTATTGTAAAGTGTTACCTTTTACTTTTCTTTATATTATATTAGTTTGATGAAGTCAGTTCTCCTCATTTGCACACACACTGTAAAAATTATTTTTATAAGTTATCGGAGTAAGAAAACACTGTTGCAGTCTTTCTATTTTAAAATTTCACTTGATGTGTATTTGATGTTAAAATTGTTCATACACATTTGTTTTTCAGAGCAGGCATATGTCTCAGTAATGTTGTTACGGGGGAACTGAGACGAGAAACGTGCGGATCCATGTACAAAGATTTATTCTAAAACATAGTCAAAACAGGCAAGGGTCGGACAATGGCAAACAGGTATATAGAGGGCAAGACTGAAGAGTAATCCGAAACACAGGCGATGGTCCAGGCGAGGAATAAACAGTACCCGAACAGGGCAAGACAAGAGGGGTAATCCAAGACAGGTGATATACTTCAGGGCAGGCAGAGATCATACAGAAACGAGATATACAGGCTAGGATCAAGACACGAATGACTAAGGCAATAAACAGTATTAAACTAGACTTTGACTCAGAACTAGGCGATGGTCCAGGCGAGGGGTAAACAGTATCCGAACAGGGCGAGACGAGAGGGGTAATCCAAGACAGGCGATATACTTCAGGGCAGGCAGAGATCATACAGAAACGAGATATACAGGCTAGGATCAAGACACGAATGACTAAGGCAATAAACAGTATTAAACTAGACTTTGACTCAGAACTAGAAACTCAACCTATGACCGGGAACTGGCTCTGTAAAGTAGCTACGCATAACAGCATAAATGATAAACAATACTTGGCGTTGAATGGTGGTGTGAGACTGATTTATATAGTGTGCGTTATTAGTAGCAGCTGTGTGTGATTGGTTTCAGGTGAGCTTGTGATTAGTGCAATGGAGCATGGGAAATGTAGTCCAGGGTGATGTGTAACAGTCTGTGTGGTGTGAGAGTCAATATAATGGGAGGGCGACCTCTGGTGGCAAGC